TATCCCCTTGTGAAGCATTTGCCACTGAACATACAAGCCATTATACACTGATGCGTTATATGGCTTACTGCTCTAACTGATGATATGCCTACACTGAGAAGGAACTGCAAAACGGTCGCATTTTATTGGCCGGCATGAGGTGACGGGCATCCTTCCACGCTGGGAGAGAGAGGAATGGCACCATGTAGATTATTTCTTTCCAGTCAACGCCCTCTCAGGGCCAATGTTAAACTTTCAGAAAGATGTTGGTCCCAACTCATGCCCCATCGCCGGTTTCCGCGCCTCTCTGCCTTACAGTGATGCAGCGCAATGCACACGAGGACTTTGCATATCAATGATCATTTAGGAGAACGCTAGTTATTGCACGCATGATTTCTCGCCTATCGTTTTATGCCAATGCGTTTTATTGTTTACCAATTTCGTCCTCCTTTCAAAAATTGCTGGAGCCACCTCTGATAACGCACCACTCCTTTTGCACGATACCAACGCATGACTAAATGGCTAACACAAGCTTAATTTTTAGGCTTGAGAAATAAACCTTCCAGACAAACTGACAAAAAATGAAGCCATCACTTCAGCATCATTAATGGCATGGCCCACACTCAGGGCAGAACACCACTGTGAGCGGCGCAAGATGCTGATGTGGATGTTCCAATCACAGCATTATGTTCGTATTATTGAGTGTCATGTGGTTTGCACATCAGTGTGCTCCTTCATGAAGCATGATGCGCATACAGGGCTGGGTGACGTCCGGAGCACGTCGAACATATACATCCAGGGTTGGCTTACGTCCGGAGCACGCCTAACATATGCATCCAGGGTTGGCTTACGTCCGGAGTACGCCTAACGTATGCATCCAGGTTTGGCTTACGTCCGGAGTACGCCTAACGTATGCATCCAGGGTTGGCTTACGTCCGGAGCACGCCTAACGTATGCATCCAGGGTTGGCTTACGTCCGGAACATGCCTAACGTATACATCCAGGGTTGGCTTACGTCCGGAGCACGCCTAACATATGCATCCAGGGTTGGCTTACGTACAGAGCACGCCCAACGTGTACATCCAGGGTTGGCTTACGTACAGAGCACGCCCAACGTGTACATCCAGGGTTGGCTTACGTACAGAGCACGCCCAACGTGTACATCCAGGGTTGGCTTACGTACAGAGCACGCCCAACGTGTACATCCAGGGTTGGCTTACGTACAGCGCACGCCTGACGTATACATGCCTCTGAATGGCACCGGCCGCCCGCAATCACTAGGCATCGGCGACATTTTAGGCATCCTTCAGCATTGACGATCATTCTCGTCCTCTCTTCTCGGAGGACCTTTATAAAATCGCAAGTTACGACTTGCTGCTAACGACCGACGAAACAAGACACTTGCAACGCATGCGTTCGGAAGTACGCTCTTGACCTCATAATGCATAAGGTCCTAAGGCTTACTGCGCGTGATAGAAACTGGGATGCTATTCCATCACAACGTTGCGAGATCAAAAGAACGCAATGAGTTAGTGCCCGGTTTGAATCGGATCGTGTTTTCGGTGCTCACATGAGGGTCGTTTCTGTGTTGACTCCATAAGCAGGGTGTGGATGTACATTAGGATGTACATACTTCTGCTGCATTTCCCTTTCATGAAATAAGTTCAAGTTCATTTGAAATTGTAACTTTGATCTCAGCACCAATGCATACTTTTTGACTAAAATACACTTGCACGATAAGAAAGCGGTTTTCTAACTAATGGGCCTCATTGTCGTTCTGAAACTTGTTTGATAATTGAAGCATTAATAGACGAGAGCGGACGTTGCACCTGTCGTGGACGTCCTCCCCCCATCCTACTGAGGAGGCTAGGTCATCCGGGGTCAAGCCAGAACGAATTAGGTAATTTGTTAACTTACTTAACACTTGTGAAGTAATTTGATGTGCTATTTGACGGACTTTGACAGGTGTTACTAAATGAATATTTTCATCTTAGCAGGTGAGTTTCTTACTTACGGGGATGGGATATTTGTGTACTACATTTGAGCCATATGACCTGCTTTAACATGCTTCAGGTCACATATACTGACGAGATGCAGTGTGCAAAGAGCTACACAATGACGTTTCTTCCGCTTCATAGTGCACGAACTGCTAGCATGAAAATATGAATAAATTCTCACCTCTCATCCATCTCAGCCCATGAATCTGGTTTAGCCAAGTACGGATTGCTTCCACTGAAGCTCGAACCTCAGTGGCACAAAGCTGACGCACTTTTACACGGGCAATCTGACCAGCTTTTCTCGCGGGCCCGAGCGTGCTCTGTTCAAGAGATAGTGGCAGGGGCTGCGGGACACCTCTCGGCAAGGGCGTGGAAAACATACCCGAGGGAAAAATGCACCATGAAAGACATGCTCGACCTCAGCGATAGTTAGAAACCCCTTAGAACTGTGAGCTTGACATCGACGGGGCAGACGACGATCAGAAAGCCTACGGAACGGCCTAAACGGGCCTCGGGTCCCGGGCCGTGGCCGAAGAGGCCAGAGCTCCCGAAACTATCGAATTACGAACATTATCGGAAGGCGAACAGAAGTACTTAACATGTCTTGGGGCACAACATCGCATTATCTTCGATATATTAACTTGTTGGATCAAGGGCAGATTACAAGAGCCATGGATGTCTTACTTATCGGGAATGACAGAGCGTTACTTAACCTGTGTGTCACGATTGGTAAATACATGATATCGAATGAATGGGCCTTATGCCAAGACGGTTTCGCCCGAAAATTAATCCAGGATGATAAGGTGAAGCATATCTCGGCCACAATGACCGGATCATTGAACAGATTTGAACGCAGGTGGCGAGATGTTCGGCCGCCCAATAGGCGATATGTGTGGAATAAAACAAAGAAGTGCTCAAAATGAATAATGGTGTGACGGAAGGTTTCTGAAAGCGCATGACTCTGGCAATACGAAAGTCGAAGAAGTTAAATTAGAGTGCGGCTCGGAAAGGTGACAGCTCCTAAGACGGAATGAGGTCCCGTAAGAAATCCAAAGGTTTCTTAGTGTTTGATCCTCGAATCCGTGTTCCTAAGGAGCCGTGAGCGAGGTTTATGTAAAGATGATGATGTAAGATGTAAACAGGGCGTGTGCCAGACGCCGACACATGCCCTGTTTACATTGTACATAGATGCTCCCAGATAGCGCGGTCTGTGCCTACGCGAAGAGCTTAGCTGGAAAATAACTTCACAACATAGTGTTTGTCCCTTTGCAGCACGCCGCAGAGGGCTCACGATTTCGTACCGTCTTAGGAGCGCAGTTGAAGACAGGAAGTTGCGATAAATTAACAAAATGAGCATGCCTCATGCTTCGTATTTCTCTGTCGTGGACACTGGCCGCGGCTGCACTGCGTCAACCGACCTTTGCCGGGGTGGGGGGAGGACACGCCGGCCTAACCCGACTGCCGCCATCTTTCGAACACCCCTGCTACAACGTACACAGACGCGTCCAGCGGGGCAGGGGGCACGGGTACACGTCAAGTAAGAGGCCTGTGGAACAGACAAAAGTACTCGCGAAATCCGTTTCAGACCATGCCATTCGTGAGTGTTTGTAAAACATCACGTTGCCAGACCTGTTTTGGCGTGGTTGCATTTCATGAGAGTACTTTTTCAACATCACGCCAAGAAATAACCATGGAACACGGCAAGCTTACAGTGCCTAGCAACAGGCGCCGAATACTAAGCTCCAAGCCACAGCTGGAGGCCCCTTGTGATGCAGGAGCCGTTATTTAGACGCCCTGGGATGCTTAGGAAAATCAATAGCGCCCTCGCAGGTTAAGCGCATCGGAAACGAGCCACTGACGTAACGCCGCAGTTTGAGACATTTCCGGTCTGGAAAAGTAATTTTGCTAGCCTACCTCGAACCCTGTATTTCCACTCAAGCCGGATATTCTGCGCAGCATGACCAAACGACTCAATGAAGGGATGGACAGCTCTATGTGGAGCTCCTTTGCGTGCCAGCGCTGGGGCCTTTCAGACGACGCACCAGCTCATTGATGCTGTCTAAACTTTGCGTACCTGTCGTTTGAGCCGTTGCTGCACTGGGCGGAAAAGATTAACAAATATATACTGACTTGTGATAAGTAGCTGTTGTTGAATTTAGATGATTATGACTTGTGAAATGAGGGATAGGACATGTTGTCTTCTGTTTTGAGATCTGCGTGCAAAATGTTAGAATGCATAAAACAGTAAATAGAAATGAGCATGGATTGTTTGCTTCATACTTGCCCGACAAAACAACGTTTAGCATGTCCATCAGTCATGTATTCAAACAAATGTCCAAATCCCATTCACAGCGTAAGGCGCTCAGAGCTCCGAACATACCTACCTTTAATGCAATCATCGAGCTTACGCTTTTCCAACGGTCAGTAAGGGGTCTCATGGCCCCTACATCGTGATATCGAAATTTTTGTGCCTATGCAAATCCTAGCTGTTAAGTTATGTCGGAGTTGTTGAAAGATAAGCTATTCAAGCGGCGCCTAAAATACCAGTCAACAACATTTCCGTTACAACAAATAGATCCAGTGTCCTCACTCCACACACCCTACATTCACCGTCATTGGTCGAGACGTCTATTCCACAATGATAGCACTTCCCTGCTTGTCGCCTCTTTCGCCCAAGTGATCATGTCACCCCTTTGGAAAGCCTCCGTTCCCCAGTGCTTAAGTCTCCTTGCGCGCGAGCTTCATCCCTTAAGTTCAAAACCTTGTGGGAAAAATGCAGAGGCCCCTGTTCGGGAACTCCGCTCCAAATGCTTAGTCTTCGCGTGCCCCATTTCCGCCGTCATTGGAGCTTACGACGCACTCAGCTGCCTTATAGCTGCTTTTGCCTGTCACCCTGGCAGGAAAAGTGAGTACCGCGGGGAATCGAACCCCGCGCCTGCGGTTTCGCAGGCGTGCGGCTAAGTGCTCCACTTCCGCCTGGGTTACGTCTTCCTGCTCGCTGCCACCTCCCCTCCCACGCGGCGTTCAAGTCTCCGTGCACGGTGTCCCACTGTCGTTTTCTCGTGTTTCCTGCTCGATGCCCCATCCCCCGTCAGTCCGCTCCCGTTTCCTCCAGAGCAGCAGCGTCTGGTTGAGACCGGCCGGCGCGGCGCTGACTAGCCGCAAGCCGCAGCCTTCGGCGCGGCCGACTAGCTCATCGACGTCGCGCAGCCCCCAGCTGGCGTCCTCCGCCTGCAGGCGCTGCTGAAAGGCGGCCAGCGGCGGCGGCACGCGGCCGCCCTGCTGGAACGGGCCGTAGAGCAGCAGCGCGCCGCCGGGCCGCAGCCAGCGGCCGGCGCCGGCCAGCAGCCCGCGCCAGCACGCCGTCGGCGCCACGTGCGTCATGTTGACGCACAGCACGGCGTCCAGCCAGCCGAGCGCGTGCGCGCGCGTGCGGCACGCCTCACACGCGGCGCCGCCGCCGCCGGTCGCGCGGCAGCTGAAGCACGCGCCGCGTATGGCGCACCACGTGTCCGGGTCGGCCGCGTCCACCACGCGCGGCTCGCACACGTTTGCCCGGGGCGCGGCCGTCAGGCGCTGGTGCATAGTGGCCAGCATGTGCGCGTTCACGTCCGACGGGTGGAAGGTGAGCTGGGGCAGGTGGTCGGCCAGGTGCGTCACGTGCTGCCCGGTGCCCGAGGCGACTTCGAGCACGTGACTGCCCGGGGCGAGGGCGAGGTCACGCACAGCCGCCAGCAGCACGTCCTTGTTGTCCTCGGCCGCCTGGCTGTGCAGCATCTGCAGCAGAGGGGAAGCGCTTGTAGGCGGGACTGCGGGCGGGTCGGGGCGGTCGGGGCGCGTGACCCGACCGGGTCGGTCACGCGCCGGCCTGGGTATGGAGAAGCCTACACGAAGGGTATCGCGCGCAGCTAGGTTCAGCCATGGGACGGGAATGTTTCATGTTCTGGTCGGGAGGAATCTTGACAGCCTGATTGAACGGGTCATCAGAGCTCATCCAGATAGCTGTTGTGTGCTGTGTAGTTCCATGATATATGTCGTGGTGTACATGCAAGGAAGGTTTTTTCTTTCATTCCTGACCGATTCATCGCTCTACTACGCCTTGTAACGTTTTCGCCACACGTGAATGGTTTATCCTTTCGCCCTCCTTCATATCCGGGTACATATGTTGCCAACGAATCATGCAAATTTGTTCGAAGTAGTCTCCGTCTGTCAATTTAAGGTACAGCCGGTCATTCAGCATGCTGACATGGAACGGCCGCTACTGGAGCAAATGACTCAAATTTAGCCCTCGAGTTTGAGTTCGCTGCCTGTTATCGACCAAGCCCATGGGTTCAATACAACCGCACAGATCCGAAGATAAGCAACGCATGCTTTTATCTTCCAATCACATTCCTACCAGATTCACTAAAGAGGCGATCACAATAAGGAAGATTTTCAAAGCCAGGCAATAGTCATGCAACGTTTATGAAAGAACGTGATCGTAACCAACGAGGCTGTAACAATGACAAACTTCGCGTCACGTTTACGTAACGAAAGCATGGCGCATGAAGTGCCAGAGGCGGCCAGCGTAAGAGGCGCACTCGACCGCCACCTGGCCGCACACTCATGGCGTGAACGTCTCGGACGGTTTGAGCAATAAAAGTGAACGCACTACTGATGGCTAGAAAACAGTGCCGGTTGCCGACTTCCTCTGGGCGTCAACCGAGGCGTGTCGACCGGGAAATGGAAATGCTGCCACTCTATGAAACCGCTAGCCCGCCTTGCTCGCCTCCTGCTGATGCCGATGGAGGTGCAACTCATTCGCGTTAATTGGATGAGTAAATGTTCTGCCTCCATGGTCGGCAACCGCAGAACACGACCACATTCTGAGAAATCTACCTTGAGCACCGGACCGACACGACATACTCTGCCTTCTTCACACCCGCTGCTATTACTCTCTCCTGAATCAGTCCCGAGAAATCAATGAAAAGAAACTGACCCTGATGCGATTGGCGCTTTTGCAACCGGCCTCCCACATACCTCTCCTAAATCAGGCGGCGCTCACACGGAATGTAGCACGGCCGTCACCGTGCGACACCTCAGGCGGTCAGGTAGACGCGTCGACGAGCCGCTGGCCTCTCCGCTAACGTGCCACCACCTGCTTCAACGGCGAGGACCCAGCTGAGTGGAAAGGGCTTGTGGACGTTGCCATAGGCGGTGTCAGGTATTTGATGCCGAAGCTGGGCGTGAATAATTCCTCCGCATCACGGACGCATGTCGTTCGCGTGCGCTCGCAGAGATCAAACGTACTTCGGTGCCCGCGAAGCACGTGAAGTGCCTCCCCTGAACCCCGCGCTGAGTGCGCCCATGGCCGGGCGGTCAGCCACGCTCCACTCCGCCCGGGGCGCCGCGCTGGACAGGCACGGCAGCGCGTGACGTGCCATTCGGCGCGGCGCCGGCCCGCCGCCGCAGCACGTACTTTGCCGGCCCGGGGGCGGCCGCTGCCGTGTACCGGCGACCGCAACGCAGGCTCCTGCGACATGGGCGCGTCCAGGCGGCAGGCGAAGGGTGCAGGCTGTCCCGTGCTGATTAAATGTCAGTCTGCCTTGGTTGAGATGGGCCATGGTCAGTGGTGAGCTTCTTTACGCGTACTTACTGCGTTCGAAAATGGCTGTGACTGGGCCAACGCAGTTATTTGGCGTCACGGGTAATCGATTAAAAATACGAGTTCTAGGGCGAGTCGACTTCTGAGGCCGTTTTGGGCCCGAGCGTGACTAAATACGACTACGATGGAACTTATGTTCATTGTAATGCCCAACGTTTCATGCTCAAAAGCAAGAAACACCGCGTCGCGAGAATCGTCGTTTTTGTAAGTGATGGTGGGAGCTGAACCGAAGGTCCGACGGGCTAACCCCTCCCCAAATGTGTGGTCTTCAGCGGATCTGGCCGTTCAGAGCACATTCACGTGAACAGCATTGTAATCATGGCCTGCATATAATGTGCAAAGGTGACATGGCTCTCCGAACACATCTTTATATTAAATGCCTTTAATATTCCAAAAAAGTTGTTGGGGGGGGGGCGAGGCCGCAAACCAGCATTGCATGCTCTGAATCCGCGTTGGGGGCCAGGACATATAAATACAAATCGACACCCCTGCATGCTGCATATTATATTTTGTGCCTAGTTAATGCGACCACCAGGTCCACCGCCGTAAGAAGGACCATCTGAAAGTAATGGATGTCGCTTCCCCATCAGGATGTGGCTGGGTCCACCAAAGGGAGACTGGGTTGGTCGAAAGGTGACTCAGTACATCAAATGGTCATAGGACCGTCAGAAGGCGGCTGTATCCACCATGAGGTAAGTGGGCTAACCAGGAAATGGCTGGGTCCGCCAGGAGGCGACTGGGTCTGTCGAGACGTCACTGGGTCCGCCCGGAAATGGTTGTGTGCGTCAGCAGGTGACTGCGTCCGTAAGCATATGGCTGGATCCGGCAGCAGGTGACTGGGTCCGTCGGAGGGTGACTGAGTCCGCCATAAGGTGACTGGGTCCTTCAGCAGGTGGCTGGGCCCGTCAGCAGGTTACTGAGTCCGTCAGCAGGTGACCGTGTCCCTCCGGGGGTGACTGGATCCGTCCAGGGGTGACTGGGTCCGTCCGGGGGTGACTGGGTCCGTCAGCAGGTGACCGGGTCCGTCAGCAGGTTACTGAGTCCGTCAGCAGGTGACCGGGTCCGTCAGCAGGTGACCGGGTCCGTCAGCAGGTGACTGGCCCGTCATGAGGTGCCTGGGTGCGTCAGCAGCGCAGCCACGTCCGCCGGATGGGGCGGCGCCGGCAGCCGTGACCCAGCGCCGTGCACACAGCTCGCCAGTCGTTCGACACGGCCGCATGCCTCACGTGAACTGAACGTGGAAAATGGGCCGGCGGCAACATCAGTGACAAGGCAAAGGCGGCAGGCTGGTGTCCGCCAGGCCCGCGAAGCATGAAGGCCACCTTGAAACTGGCAGCATTATTATAAAAACAGGCATATGACTCCCACAATGTGAGCCACATCCGTGGTGACCCAGTTTCGTACAGATCTACATAGAAGCAGCACTCGACGCAGCACACGTCTCTTCACACTTCTTGATGTCTCATGGGACTTCGAGACGCATCACCATCGGTCCTTTAGATGTTGTGTCGTTAAGTATTTGCGTCTTTCGACGTTATGGGGGGGGGGAGAGAATAGCTAAAAGCATCCGTCCGGCTATCCTTTCTCATGAATAGTATATGCGCAAGTAATATAAATTACACGTTAACGCACTGTTCTCAATTCACCACTGTATGGAAAATGGCTAAATCGCCCCCAAAATATGACAGCAATAGGTTTCTCCCCCACTTTGGCCCACTTTTCTCACAGTTGGGGAGGGCTTCAGCCCTCTCCCCAAACGAACCTACATCCCGGCACCACTGGCCACGAGGACTACGCGATTTGAAACTACCAACAAGGGCAGGTTGCATTTGTTGACCTCGCTACTGCCTCTCTGCACTTCTCCAAGCCCATGCCTCAGAAGCGTAAGCTACCCAGCAAGCTTCAGGCGGTGTTCCTAACTCCGTGGGCGTCATGCCGACACTGTTTTTATGGGCCGGCGCCCTGCCCTGCGCCGTGGTATTTATTATCCTTGACATCGGACACTGCAGACCGGGGCTGCTTGTAATCGGGCAGGACTCCAAGGCCTGGTCCCACGTAAACATACGCCTGATTCATGGATCCCGTTGCAAACAACGTGAGGTAACCGTTTCAGCCAGACTGAGGAGAACGACCAGCGGTCTTCTGTGACCTTGACAGCGGGCATTGCAGACCTCCGTGATAGGACCTCTTTGAACCATGTGATCTCTCGTGGCCTGGGCTTTTCTTGTGGCATGGACACTCTCGTAGCATGGACTCGCGTGGCCTGGATTGATCCATGAACTGGACTTTCTCGTGGCCTGGACTCTTAGAGGCCTCCCCGGGTAAGATTTCATTTACTCAATTTACTCACTATCCATGGTACTGTGCCATTCCTCACTCGCTATCCATTCTTGTTCCGTTGTAACCATCCCGTGTCCAGCCCGATTGCTCCTTCCCAGCACATAAATTCTTAAATATGGGAAACATCCAGGAATGTTTCCAAGCAAATCTACTCTCTACAGAGTTGAACAGATTTATTCTAACAGAAGCGCAGGCACGAACATAGTTTAGTATTTCTTGAAGCATTCATCCAAAATTTCGGACACGTCTTACACATACCCGCCCCCATACCCTGTACCCAAATTCGCGTCCATACGCGGAGTTTTCCCCAAGTGTTTAGCCAAACCACCCGTCACGCATTCCGTAGGGTTACCCAGGGGCTGACCCAAACCGTTAAGTCCTCTAATGGCCTCCCTCGAGGTCAGACCCGCAGCCACGTGAGTGCGTTGGGTGCCCGTGTATCCCCCGGGATCTGCAGTGCACCCCAACCTCTCTTTGTGCAACACCTATACCTTAGGTATAGGGGTTTTACGGACATTGGATGAAGCCTTCTCGTGCTAGGGTCTGAAACAAGCGCAACTGAAAAGTACTGTAATCAGCTATTGGCGCATAACAAGATTGTTCCACATCTTAAACCCTGTATTATTCACCACAGTTGCGTTTTTCTCCAATGTTTTCACCTCGGCTTCGTGCCATTCTTCACGAGTGGTTTCGGTCTGGTTAACACACAACCGGGTGGGGGTCAAGTTGAGCCCCAACCGAATGTTGTTCCTAAATAATTTTTGAACGGCGCGGCGTAGCCGCACCAAACTTTGCGTAACTGTAGGGAATTTAACAATGAGCTATTATGTCGTGCGACCGCACCAAAGGACATGTAAATTTTGCGGCGCATATGGCTTCTGTATGAAAGCGTTTTGAGTTCGGATAATTTTTATGAAGAATGAACGCCCGAACTGAACTGAAATGTAAATGCATTCGTACCAACCAAGATAAGGAATCGAATGCAGGGAGCCGAGGACAACGAAGCTGCAGTACAACGAAAGCAGCGCAGTGGAGATGGTGAACGAGTCTTGCACAATATACCACATTCATCGCGCTTTTGATTGTGCTATTTTTCTAGCCATGCAACCTGTATCCTTGCTAATCCTGCCAACTGGTCGATCTTGGCGCCTGTGGCTTACGAGTTATCTTCAACTCTACCTTAACATAGCCCTGTTCCTTACTACATTCCTCCTACTTTCATGTTATCATTCGTTATCTTCCCATGTATTCATGTCATGGCGATGAGTGCATTAAAAGTCATCCAAATGTGTGGAAGCACCGATGTGACAATATAATACGATACAATACAGCAAAATAAAATGAAGTAAAAACAAAGGTTGCGATTACACCTTTCCTCCCGACCTAGCATCTCTCCTTCCCTCTCATTCCGCGAAGCTTGCTTGGGACGGTAAAGAACAAATTGTTCGACACATCGCTGAGTGAGCGGGAAATAGCACTGTTCCAGTCCGGGAAAAAAATGATCGCGCTACATCAAGCGTGCGCCTTGTTAAAGGCTCACTAGTGCGCCTCCTGGGAGTTTTGACATAGCCACGGATCAGCTCATGACACTGAATTGCCCTTGACTTAAACTAGACGTGACCTAGATCTTTCAATGACCTGTTCGCTAAAGGACCCGCCATATCTGTGATATGGGCACTCCCGTGACCTGCGGCTTGTTTTTGATCCTTCTCCCCAATTCTCCCCAACTTTTAACTGCTGTCTTGCCTTTCCCTTAGCACTGTAAATGCATTCGTACCAACCAAGATAAGGAATCAAATGCAGGGAGCCCGTTACGATAAAGCAAAATAAAATGTAAAAAACATAAAAAAACGATAAAGCGAAACCCAGTTACGATAAAACAAAGGCCCATCGAGCTCCTGCCTTCGTCAAAAAGACACCCAATGCTTGTTTGTATCTTAGGGTGCCGAGATCGAGCGATCTCTTTCCAAGACGCTGGCGGCAGAACACAGAAAGACACAGATGCGGGCTCACACAACGCAGAAAAGGGACTGCCTAACGCAGAAAGTGGATTGCACTTTAAACGTGTGTATCTACAATGTATGTATACCTTCAGAAAGTCAGTTTCCTCACGTCAGGAGGCTTCACACACGGGACTGAACTGATTGGGGATGCTAAGAAAATGAGTGATGGGAACTTGTGCTTCTCGTGACTTGGATTTTCCCTGACCTGAATACTTCCGTGACCCGCCCTTTTCAGTGCCCTGGCCTCTCCTGGTGTCATGTAGTCTCGCCACCACTGGTCCAGCCAGCGGGCGGGGGAAACTCATGGGGGTTTAGCCCTCCCCCCACGTTAGGTTCGACCCCAGTTTTTCGTCACGACACTTCTGAACGGAAATCCGGAATCTGGTGATCAGGAAAGTAGTTTGTTTTTAAATCTTATACACTACCATGGACAGCGGCATGTACATGTCAATAGCCGTAATTTAGTAACAAGACCAGCGGACAGCCGAATGAATATGTACGGCACGCAGCTGAAACAATTGTGAAGGGTAACAGGATGAATCAATATTGATACCTCAATAGATACGCTAGGTGCTGCGACTTTTAGCGTCTGTGGGGTCTGTTAGTCTGCTCGCAGTGCGTAGGTTCTGTCAATAGTCTGGGAATCGCTCGTCAAACATAGCCCCCCCCCCCCCCCCACCCACCGCAAATTATGGTAGTTCCTCCTGTCGCAAATCCTGGCTGCGTCCCTGCTCTTCACTGACCTGGACTCTCCGGTGACCTGGCGTCTCCGGTGACCCGGACTCTCTCCAAACCTGGACGGCGGACACTCCCATGACCCAGCCTCTCCCGTATCTGCCCCTCCCCTGACCTGCTCTCTCCACTGATGTAGACTGTCCGGTGACTTGGCGCTTTCGGTGGCCTGGACCCTCTCCTCGCGTTGACAGCCGACACTCCCATGATTTGGTCTCTCACCTGACCTGAGCTCCCTTCTCACCTGAACCCCCCCCCCCCCCAACCTGCCCTCTCCGATGATCTGGCATCTCGCCTGACTTGGCCTCTCTCCGATGACCTGGTCTCTCTCATGACCTGACCTTTCCGATGACTTGGCCTCTCCGATGACCTGGCCTTTCCGATGACCTGGCCTCTCCGATGACCCGGCCTTTCCGATGACCTGGCCTCTCCGATGACCTGGCCTCTCCGATGACCTGGCCTCTCTCATGACCTGGCCTCTCTCTCCTGACCTGGCCTCTCTCCTGACCTGGCCTCTCTCCTGACCTGGACTCTCCCTGACCTGGCCTCTCCGATGATCTGGCCTCTCGCATGACCCGGCCTCTTCCCGTGACCAGCTCCCCACCGCCGGCCAGGCCGGACCGCGCCCGGGCTGGCGGCCGGCCCTGACCACCAGCGCAGCCCCGCCCAGGCCGAGACGTACCGGCGCCGCCGGAGTCGGTCCAGTGGCGCGGCGCCGGCAGGGGACGAGCGACGGCGCGGTGCGCCACCTGGGACCGGAGGACAGCCGGCGCGGCGACGGGCACCGCCTGGACGGGGCGGCACTGCTCTGGTGGGGGTGGCGCGGAGAGGAGCCGTGACGCCGGCCGGGCGGAGGAGACGCTCAGGCAGCCCGCCGACAGGAAACGGGTGGTGAAACGGCGAGAAGCAGCGCAGACCAGTGGTTTACGTGCCGCGGTGGTGAGGAGAGCGGCCAAAGAAAACAGCGAACACGGGTGCGAGTCCACGAGCGAAAACTTGCGGTGACGAAAGGCGTCTGCACCCGACCGTCATCCAGTGAGGCGCGGCGCGTCATCCCCTCCTGCCAGCTTCGCCACAGAGCGGCGCCCCGCGGACCGCTGTCGCCATGGAGCACGACCTGATCCTGGTGGTGTCGGCGCAGGTGCTGGTCATCGGCGCCGTCGCCGTCGGCATCGGCGTCCTCCTGCTGCGCAACCTGGTCTGCCGCTCGCGCATCAAGGCGCGCGGCCGCGCCGTGCTCGTCACCGGCTGCGACCGCGGCGTGGGCTTCGAGCTGGCGCGTCACCTGGACGCACTCGGCTTCCGCGTGTTCGCCGGCGTGCTGGACCCCTGCGGCGCGGGCGCCGCCCGCCTGCAGGGCTGCACGTCCGTGCTGACGCAGCTGCTCGATCTGGACGTCACCTGCGAGCGGAAGGTGGCGGCGGCGACGGCGCAGGTGCGCGACGCACTCCGAGTCAGCGGCGAAGGTGAGGAGAGGACTGCAGCGCTAGGAGGTGACCTGGCTGGGTGGTGATGTTGGCAGGGTGTGAGGAATTGGGAGCTGATCATGCGGTGTCATTGACTGGTCAGGGGTTTTGGGAGGTGAGCTTGAGAGTGGTGACGGCGTCGGTGGGATGTAAGATATTGGGAGTCGAGGAGCTATGCGGGATCCATGTCAGACCTGAGGCCGTGGAAGGTGATCTGATGGGGTAGAAGTTAGGATAGGGGCGATATGAAGCGACCTAACGAGGCAAGCCTCAGGTCAGAGGTGACGGAAGTTGATCATGACTGGGTCAGAGACAGGCTTGAGCCAATGGGTAGTGATATCGTCAGTTGGGCTGATTTTGAATCGGCGATGATGCGTAGTCCTAGCGTAAACATAACGTTTACATTTCGAGAGCACAATGTAGCGAGCGCCATGTGGAATTTCTATATTCAGGTGACGACTTAGCCACAGAGTCGAATCTTGAACAGCACAAAATATGACATGCGTTTGACGGATAAACGTTACTCTTCGCTCTTGTCCCGTACGCGGTGATTTCGAGAGTGACTGTAGGTGTCGTTTAACTTTTTTCTTTAACATCCATGTTACTATGACCAGCATGTCATGACAGGCATACATGGCGTAGTTAATGCCTGTTACAGACGGCAATCAGGGACTCTACAGCTGCACCTCAGTTGCAGGTGGTCGGACTTCACACATGGCTGTAATCAAGGTCCGAGCATTTTGTTCGCATTTACTCGCCATCAAAACTACTGTATGACAGCGCTGTCAGCGCTGTCATTCAGCCCCCATTATTTAAATATCACGTTGTCGGGATCGTGAGAGAACAATCTGGAAAATACGCCAGCTTTGAGTGACACTGCGTGGGCTCTTCTCAAACCTAGTAACTCTGAAACGCGTTTTGCCGCAGTTCAGGAGCGAAAAAAAGACGCCGATGCGTGAACATTTAGGTGCGAATAGATGCGTTCGAGCATGAGCGCCGATGAGTAAACGCCTAATTAGCTGCAAAATTATTAGGAACATGATCTACCAAGTTTGAGAGGACATCCCGCAAGTTGATTGCTATGTCTCGGCTAATCTCACATGCTGCAACCTCGGCTTATTCCCGTTGGAAAGTTGCCTGTTGGTTGTGTTTATCTCGCCATCTCCCACCTCTGACGTCAGAGTGAGGAAACTTATGCGGTCAGCTCCGTTTGGCGAAGGATGACTGTTGTGAGCTTTGTGGATTTGCACCAGACCATGGAGATATCACGGTTTGTCACCGTCCCAATTCACCAGCGTTATAGGCTTTAAATGGCGCGGTATTGCGCTGCCCGGTCGCACACAAGTGCCGTCGTTTAATAATGCTGACCGTGAACAGCGAACGCTTCACGGATTTTTCACGGCGCCTGTCGTTCTGTTCATTATTCCTGTTGCGACTGTGATGTTGCGATTGCTTAGTCTTCAGTCGGTTCGCTGCCCGCATTTTGATCTCAAGGACGATGTAATCCGTGCGGATTTCAAATCGTAGTTGACTGGTCGGCGTAAGCGATTCAATTATCTATACAGCACCCTAAAATGGCATCCATGCGCAACCATCATGGAAATTTGGCCTGGTGTCGTCCGCACTGATGGTGGTGCGCGGAAGGTGATTTTTGTGTTAGGCCGGTAGCCGAAATGTTTCACTTTCTGCTCATTTACCTCTTCAAGCAGACTGAAGCGCATCTCAAAACCCACAGACTGACGCATGTTTAACCTTTAACCTCCTCGGGCTTTGCTACGATTCGCGTCCATTCGGTAGATGGTTCTACTTTGTAACTACACCTGACGTTAGTTAACCTGAGCCATCATCACTACCTCCCGCCGTTCGGTACCCACAACAGCTCTGGGAGCTGCCCTTCTGCTGTGAGCTAGGCCTATCACATCGCATCACCTGCCCCGCCCACAACATGCAGCTGCGACAGCGGCACGTGCCGTCGAAGTCCAGCGGCGCCGAGGCAGCGGGCGCCGCCGGCCCTGCCGGTCGGAGGCGGCACCGTTACCGTCTGGGAGGTCACGGGGAACCAGGCAGTCGGGGCGACCACGCGCGTGCGGTCTCTCTCTCTCTCTCTCTTCTCTAGATTCTATATATAGCTCTCGCTCTCCCCTCCCTATATTCTACTCTCTTCATCCTGCTCTATTGTCCTCATTCTCTCGGCTATCTCGATCACGCTCTTCTGCTCTCTCTATCTCTCTCTCTCGTCTCGATCTGCGGATTCTCAAGCATCTCTCTCTCTTCTCTCTCTCCCTCTCTCTCTCTTCTATTTCTCTCTCTCTCTCATCTCTCTTCTCTCTCCTCGATCTCTCTCTCATCTCCCTCGTCTCTCTCTCTCTCTCTCTCTCTTCTCTCTCTCTCTCTCTCTCTCTCTCTCTCTTCTTCTCTCTCTCTCTCTCTCTTCTCTCTCTCTCTATCTCTCTCTCTCTCTTCTACCCTTCTTCTGGCCTGTTGACTTCGGACCGCGCAAGCACGACTAATGATAGAACTTTTCCCGGCAATGGCGTAAAGTGCATCTAGTTGCTCCTGCGTGTGCGGAGGAGGGAAAACGGATGCCTTGGGACCAAACCTAGCCGTACGCCACTATTAGCGGCGCTCTGCAGCTTGCCTCAACTGTGGGTGGCTGCCGCAGCGCCGCTCCGTCGCTGCGGCAGCCACGCCGCGAGAGCTGCAGCGGAGGGTGACCGGGCCGTGTCCCCGTCCGTGGCCGGCGCGCGGTACGCTGCGGGCGCTCAAGGGTGGCGAAGCCTGATCGGTAATCGACGTGACCCTAATTGGGCGGCGACGTATCGGCATACAGCGCACTGTCCTTGAGGAGAGCGTGTCGCTGGTGGCAGCCAGCCATTATCCTTTCGACATGAGCGATGGGCTCAAAATACGCTACTCAAGTGTGCTACACTCCCTCTCTCACGCGAAACGTTTTCAGAATAAATTGAGATGACTCTAATGTAATTTGGGACTGCATAATGAATGATGCACTCATCCTGCATAAAGCGACTACGTGCAGTTGAATAGCTAGAGTGGTTTCAGCAAAGTATCTTGATGAGTGGTGTAACGGAGTGGAGGATTAGTGCTACACAGTAAAGCTTTAAAGGAGATTGGAGCCCTGCGAGATCTTTTGTTGAGGCTCATCTGAGCTTGAGAGTGAAGCGAAAACGTATCTCGCGTCGGTTTAATTCGTCTGAACTCAGCTAAGTTTAATGATGATGAAAAGAAGTTGATGAGCACCCGCACTTCAACTCTCCACCAGCATCGATGCGTGTCCCAAATGACTCAGCTACCATGAAATCAAGCTGCCTGTCGTCAAGCCAGCGCGAAGCGTTATCGACGCCGGGAATACCTATTGCCGCATACTGTACGCCAACTCCTTCGTGCCGCGTGAGTCTAAGTATCCCAGATTCGACAGATCCCTTTTAACAACATGTTCAGCAGCTAGTCGACATCTCCTGGGCGTGGCCCTCCTGACGGCTCCCGTACTGAACAGCCGCTCGAGGGCCCCGTGATCTCTTCCTTCCATTGTCCTGTCGCCACATGCCTCCGCAGCGGGGGCCCCGGTCCGATCGCGCGCCGCCCGGACTAGTCCAGCGCCCAGGCCCGGCAAACTCCCGACGTTATCAGCCTGACCTCGGGACGCTGTCCTCGGCGGACGGCTGGAATGCTGGGCCTCATTCGGCCAGCCCGGGCCGGCGGCGGCAGCGCCTGAACACATCCAGCCCGGGCCGGCGGCGACGGCGCCTGAACACATCCAGCCAGGGCCGGCGGCAGCAGCGCCTGAACATATCCAGCCCGGGCCGGCGGCGACGGCGCCTGAACACATCCAGCCCGGGCCGGCGGTGGCAGGGCCTGAACACATCCAGCCCGGGCCGGCGGCGACGGCGCCTGAACACATTTAGCGCTGGCCAGCGGGAAGACACGCCCGGGACGGACGGCCCGCACCAGACGTCGCGTATTGAAAACGTGACAGGGTGATCGGACACCCATGCAGGATCCTAAGCGTGGTGCCACTCAAGCTTGGGGCGTTACTAAGCTAGGATAGATGAACAGATCTGAATAAGCATTGGAACTGACCCGGATGTGTAGCTGAATGTTCGGGGGAAGCCGTTCGCCCCCTTGAAGAATCGTGCGTATCCTAGCTCCACCGATCGCAGCTGTTCCAACAGTGAACAGATAAATGGGTGTGTAAATCAGCGGTTTCGCACCTCACGCAGTCACGCGGTGGTATTTCTTTGCTTCACTCTGCTATTCACACTATTATGCTCCATATAATGACACATTTGTATATATATATATATATATATATATATATATATATATATATATATATATATATATACAGTCAGCGCCAGGCGGGTGGTTGTCGATTGTTGGCAGCTAAACGTTCAGGCACTTCCTGTTGTGCAACCTGATAGGTGTTGGCAATGGCAGCAAGGGAATGGACTAAACCAGGCCCACCGACCTCCCTAATGAACAGGTTCGTTTGTTTTGGCATGAACGACAGCGGCGAGTTTGTTTTGTTTGTTTTTTGCCACTGACCATCAGACTCTTGCTAGGACATCGACCAGGTTCCTCTTGAGGTTCGACCTTCCGTTAGATGCATTTCATGTTCATCAACTTCCAACGATTTTGACCGATTGTCTCAGCAGGGCTATCGGCAGTGCTTCAGGTCTTGTCGGCCTCTGCGGTTACACGACGCCCAAATGCGAAGTTTCCGCGCCAAGTCGCGAAATATGTCCGTCGTGCACGTACTTGGGTTAGGGAGGCGACGATTACCGTCAATGAACTTTTCCAATTATTTGGTCGAGCGGGGATGCACTCAACCCTCGCGATCCAGCGGTCCCGTCCAGCGGAGCGGCGTTCTAGTGAGACAAGCTGCGGTGGGACATGGTGAAGGCGAGACGCATGTCTTCGCGGAAGACTCCCTTCCCTCGGAGGGGATGGTGCAGACTTGATTCCGCGGACGGCCTCGTGTCCGCGGCCAGTCGTGTAGCTGGCGAAGACGTTTCTTCTCTGACGCACCTACGAACTACACACAGGTGGCTCTACGTGACGCCCGGGAGCGGAAAAAAGTTACAACGAGGTCTCGAAGCATTCAGCCAGCAAGGGACTATATTAACAAGGCGAGGTCACAACTGGCACCTTGCGAGAAGTCGGGCACTCTGAGTACCGGATTATTATTTTGATTCAGCCGTCGTGAACAAAGAACATGTTACGCCAGTCAAGCTGACACGATACGCAATTACTATGCCTGGAGTGTTGACAAGCCAGCTGTGCGTGCCGGGAATACAGCTTTACAGTCGGGTGTAATGACATCTCACACGACGCAAGTAACTTTTCCTTTCTCTGTGGCGCATGCCGACGCATAGCAAGCGCGGGACGACGGCATTGAGGCCAACGCCAGTAAACATCTGCCCGATGGGAGCGGTCGCCGTTGCTGGGCGCTAGCAAACTTAAGGGATTGCGTGTGAATGTTACTTTCATGTTAGTGTTGGTGACACGTAAGGAAGGTTGTACCTCTGTGTCCTTGAAGCACGGAGGCCCTTGGTCAGAAATCGGACTGGATTTCTTGTCGTAAACAAGCCGAAGGAGCCTTGGGGAAAACCGAACGTGGCTTGTCCTTCATTTACACAATCGCCATGATCGCCGGGCTGTGGTTAAGTGGCAATTATGAAGAAACGGTGACCGCTGACCAGGCTCCCAACAGGTATGTGGACCCAACCGCGCTAAATGACGGGTTCTGTTACAAATGGTAGGGTCAGTGAATTTCAACAGGCGTTTCCTCACGACCGTTCTGGATGCTTGGGATACATTGGACGTGTCTGAGTGGTGTTGAAAGCCGGGTTGTGACTTAATGCTCAATCACCATACAGTGAACATCTAATCAGCATTGCGAGCGCCCTGATATCAAAGCGCCGCTACAAAGTGAGGCATTGTGGACCATCAACCGGCCGTGTTGTCCTCCGCTCGGCATCTTTTTGTCTTGCATTGCTGCAATTTGTTGTAGATTACTTGGAGAGGAAGAACGCACCAAGACCTAGACTGTCACCTCGGTGGGGCCGCAGCGCGCCAATTCCGTCAGCATGCTCTACCTGACGCCGGTGAAACCGTGGTGCCCCTGTCCCTTTCTCCGAGACCGGTCGCCGCATCCTGGGTCTGCTGCTCGTGCTGCTCTGCTGTGTCGGCCTCTTCCTCTCCACGCTGCTCGTGCTCATGAGCGTGGACATCGTATCGGTCATGTTCCGCTTCCGCTACTTCTACCCACCGTCCGAGCACTTCTTCAAGCCGGCAACGGTGGCGCTCCTCCACATGGCCATCCACGTCGGCGTCTACGCCTGGTTCGCCGTCGCCTGCTTTTACACCTCGCGCTGGCAGTCGCGCATGCGCTTCAACGAGTACGTCTCGGTGATGGTGTTTGGCTTCCTCGTGATGTCGCTCTGTGAGCACGAGATCTACGTGGCGCTGTACGGCGGCGTGCGCGACTGGACCCACGAGCTTGGTCTGCGGATCGACCAACCGTCCTTCTTCTACAAATTCAGCGAGCTGGCGCGCTACCACATCGACAAGCTACAGGTGGAGGAGCGCTGCTGCGGCGGCAGCGCCTCCTGGATGTGGCACCTCATCGACTGGGTGGGCCTCGAGGACGAAGGGTTCCTACCGCAGAAGGTGCAGCAGCGCCTGCGCGGCACGCCCTGGCAGATCTACTCGACAAGCGAGCAGGTCCGCTTCGTGCGCGGGCTCAGCGCCGCCGACCTCGCCGACATGCGCAACCGTAGCATGGCCGTCTGCACCGACTGCCCGTACATCAAGCCGTGGAGCTGCTGTGACCCGGATAGCAACGCCCACCGCTGCCGCCTCAGCCGCGCGCAGCTCAACTGGACTGTCTATGAGAGCACCGGCATGCGCGTCATCAACTGCACGGTCGGCGTGTACGTCACCGAGTTCTACGACACCATGGTGGAGTGGGGCGTAGTCGCCGAGGTGATGAGCTGGACGGACCTGCTGATCGCGCTGCTCGCCAAGTACCTGGACTCGGCCAGCAACGAGGCGATGCTCTCCGGCTTCCCGGAAGGCCCGTCGAGGGTGAGCAGACGCCGCCCCGAGCAGGGCTGCACGTGACCGTCCGCCTTGATATGGGGGTCAGGGGCGCGGGCCGGGGTTCGCGTGTCTAGTGGCGAGGCTTTGTTCCCGGCTGCACGTGGAGACGTCAGGGTCCGGGCTGGACCTTCACATGTGGGCTATCAGAAGTAACAGAAGGCACTGCTCGTTAGCCGGCTTTGTTTTGTAGTTTATGGCGTGTTTAACCTTAGCTCCACCTGCGGTTGTGAACAGTTCTCTGTCCTGTTTCCTTGTTTTCTTTGCCTAGCTCTCCATTCCCAGCTATGATCAATCACACAGTTGCATTCTTCGATTCGGCACTCGATCCTAGCAGTCTGTCTCTAACTTTCGAACTGCATCATCGCCTGGTTTTCACACATGTCTGGAGACTTCAACTTTCTGGCCGAAACTGGTCGCTCATCACTCATGCCTCCAATCGCTTATGCGTTTTCCTTCAGATCGCCTACGGGCAGTCAGAATCCGTTGGCAGATTGATGTGGATTATTTTGTTCACTCGTGGGAGTTTTAACATCTCATCAAGTAAATCGTGGCCGAGAAACTGTGTCTCCACGCTGAGTGCTCCGCTGATGTAATACTGACCACGTTTCTGACATGGCCGTACCGCAGGCAGAACAGCGCAGTTAGAATGACGCGTCGCAGTAAAACGAATATCTGGCATTTGTTTGGTAATTGCCGGTGTCGAAATTCTAGGCAACGCTTAATGGTCCTCTGCGGTTTTCGTAGCGCACTCCTGCAAGGACTCACACACACAGCCATTCAGCAATTTTGAATAAAGTAAACGCACATCGCTCACCGTAAAACGTAATTTTGCGTCGGAAGCCATCGGGATATGTAAGTCCAAAAGAAATACCTTTCTCGGGAGATATAACAAAAGTATCTACGACCTAAAACATTGGTATTCAGTTCCCCTCTAGATATCCGACACCATCTCCTGCCCTCGCTGTTCCAGCACTATCCGCTCCTGCAGCAGCCCACTTTTAGGCCTGTCCCCGACCGTCGATAATCGCAATTTATATTCTACCCCTCCCTGCGTATGGCCCCCCTTCCCCATAATCCCCCCTCCCCCCCTCCACCTGCTCACCCCTCCCCGTCCTGTCCAGCAGGGGTACCTCATGCAGCGCTGCTGCGGCTGGTTCTGCCCCAAGCCTGGCTTCATGCCCGAGCAGCCGCCGGCCGTGGCGCTCACCTATCGCGCCGAGGAGGCGCCTTCGGGCATCTTCGGCGCCCAGGAGGAGGGCCTAGAGCACCAGCTGGACGAGCAGCTCGACAGGGAGGTGGAGCGCAAGCAGGAGAAGCGCCAGGAGCGGCGTGAGGAGCTGCGCCAGAAGCGGATCGACAAGAAGGTGCAGCAGCACCGAAGGAACATGGGCCGTCGACGACGACACGGACAACGACGAGGGCATGGACGCCGGCGTCGACGACGAGACGGAGGACGTGGAGGTCAACGATGACTGGGCGGCGGACTAGGACGATGTGACGACAGTCTGACATGACATGACAGTCTGACGACAGTCTGACGGCTGACAGTCACGGACTGTGAGTGGAATGGCGCATTTCGGCGCGGAAGCGCGCCGCTCAGACAACATTCAGCCTGGGGCCGCTACTACTGGAAAACTCCGTGTCAACTCCACGGTGATGGTCTCGCGGTGAACGTCGTGAGGTTCTCCGCGTCCCAGTTGGCGTGGACATGGAGTGCCACGTGATGCCCCTGCGCCGATTGCGTGCGCTTCATGCAAGATTGAAAATGCTGTCTTTTATGCTGGCAGTATTTATGCAGAGAGATGTGATGCGAGAACATAGCTCGGAGCCACGCCTAGCCTCACACCTGCAGCATCTTGCACAAATGCACATTATACACAGTATGCTGTAGGTCCGATGGAAAATAGTGCATCGCCAAGTTACATGCATCCTGTATCATGTATCCTGTATCCTATCCATATGTTGTATGTGGATGAACTATGCACGGGGACGGTGGTGCGATGCGCTAATAATTGCCATACAGCACAATCGGCGATCTTGCGCACCGCTCCGGGTCGGAACGCATGTATATAGCTAGACAGGGGCGTAGTTTTACGACATGAGTTGGGCGGGGGAAGGGAGGGGGCTCAGCAGTAAACAAAATGGCACCATCTTTTCTAATAAAAAAAAACGCCGACAAACGTTGCTCCGTGTTACGCTTCTCCGTGGACATGCCCCATTTTCTGCTCAAAGTTTTAGGGCGGGCTGGAGCTCAACTTGTGGGGGTGAAGCCCCCCCCCCCCCTCCCCAACCTACTGACTAGGAAACTACACCTCTACACCTCGATATTATATTGGTGCGTGCCTTTATGCATGTCACGCGGCAATATTTGGGAGAATGTTGCATAAATTAACGGGTCCGCGTATTGAAGTGTGTATTTCACATTGTAAGGCATTACCAGCTCACGCCAAATGAGCTTCAGCGGGCCGATTCGTCGAAAAACACGTTTTCGATATCTTTTATTGTCTGTATGCGGCGCCATATCGCTTATGGGTGGCGTATCCAATTTGAGGGGAATGCAACTTCCCAATACCATCCTGGACTTTCCCACCCCTGCGCCAGTGGCTGGAAAGTCACAGCATACTCGACCCCCCTAAAGCAGATGTCAGTCTTATTCGCAAAGGCCTGGCATTTGGTACCAGCAGGCAGGCATTTATTTAGCATGACAAAGATAGCAACGGTGGTCCACTAGCAACAGGTAGCCGCGTTGGGCGAATGCAAACAACGAAGCGCGCAGCGACTTTGCCTACCTTGTTTTCAGTAGCAGGCTGTGCAGACAATAACCAGGGGCTGCCAGGTCAGCGAGGTGATACGTCAATGCCGGTTGGCGTTTTTCATAAGGCTTTCTCTCTTCGAACACGGCTTATGATCCTCTTAACGCGCCGCCGTCCTGTCTTCATTCCGCTGGTCTCCAAGGCATCAGACGCGCCGCCGGCCCATCGATCGGTGCCCCACAACTGCGCATGCGCCAGCAGACCACCGGTTCGTAGCAGACGCCGGCTGTCCGGCTGCGCGGAAATCGATCGGAGTGGACTGCGGGCGGCGAAGATAAAGACTTCGCTTGGGATGGGCAGCTCACTCAGACACGGTGCAGCCTGCGCACTGGTGCTTACATCGCGTCATGCACACTGGCTACGTAGCTAGCGCCTGCTCGACGCCTCACAATGCGGCCAGTGATGATCAGTCCTTGTGTACCGCGCGACCGGTCTTGTTTACCTCGGAGAACCGCACAGCTCATCATATAGGGGGCAATTGACCGGACCGTCACGATATGGTGCTATCAGCGGACCGCTCGACAGCTGGTGCCGTGACGTGTGGTGCCGTGTCGCGCCTCGGAGCAAGATAGCGCTGCACCGCACTGCGACGAGCGATGACTCACCGGACGGCACTGCACCTCACTGCGACGGGCAGTGGCTCACCATGCGGACTGCACCGCACTGTGACGAGCGATGACTCACTGAACGGCACTGCACCTCACTGCGACGGGCAGTGGCTCACCATGCGGACTGCACCTCACTGCCACGAGCAATGGCTCACCGGACGGCACTGCACCCCAGTGCGACGAGCAGTGGCTCACCGTGCGGTACTGCACCTCACTGCGACGGGCGGTGGCTCACCATGCGGACTGCACCTCACTGCCACGAGCAATGGCTCACCATACGGCACTGCACCGCACTGCGACGAGTGGTGGCTCACCATGCGACAATGCACCTCACTGCGACGAGCAATTGCTTACCATACGGCACTCAACGGCACTGCGACGAGTGATGGCCCACCATGCGATACTGCACCTCACTGTGGCGAGTAGTGGCTCACCGGGCGTCACTGCACCTGAATGCAACGATGAATAGCTCCTTATGCGGCACTGCACCTCACTGCGATGAGCAATGGCTCACCATGCGGCACTGCGCCTCACTGCGACGAGCAATGGCTCACCATGCGGCACTGCACTCCACTGCGAAGAGCAATGGCTCACCATACGAAACTGCACCTCACTGTGGCGAGTAATGGCTCACCGGACGGCACTGCACCCCAATGCGACGAGAAATAGCTCGTTATGCGGCGCTGCACCTCACTGCGACAAGCAATGGGTCACCATGCGGCACTGCATCTCACTGCGACAAGCAATGACTCACCATGCGGCACTGCACCTCACTGCGACAAGCAATGGCTCACTATGTGACCGTTCTCGGTGATTGCCTTTGGCAGGTGGCACGTGCCAACGCTAATTAAACATCTAGATCGCTGACGATTAAGGTTTTATACACGATAAGAACGATGGCTCCCAAAGAAACGCATTGACCTGATGACCGGCTTGTCGTGCATAAAACGAGATCAGCCTCGTTAAGCCATGATTCCGAGCACAGCAACAGCTGACACGCCGCCATACCTAGCTAGCAAAGATTGCCGTGAGCACGTCTTGGATGTGATTCTCTCTGCACATAGCCGTCACACGATTGGGACGCATTGTACAATGTATGATGGGGCGTGGAAATGGCATGCCGTGTCAGTGTTCGCACGCAAAAATGCTGGTAAGATGGGGGCACAATGGTGCCTGTAGTGACTTTTGCGAAATTAAAAATGTCAAAGCTCCGGTAGTGTACGTCACACGGGTCTGAGACCTCCTCCGGAGGCCCAGGTTTAATGCAGGTATGACTCCACATGTACACATTGAAGGCAAGGGTTGTATTTGCGGCTTTTCCATGAATTTCTTCAATGATTCGTCCCGACTTTGTCCATATTTCTCAAGGTTCTTCCGAGAAGATCAGCCAAGCGCTTCTTTGCCGGAAAACGGGAGCAAACTGACTCACGCGGCCGTCGGAGACACGTCTAGAGTCGGTCACGATCTCACAGCACGCGCAGCACCCGTCTCCCGCGGCCTGTCTCCATCAGGCCTCGGGCGAGCAGCCCACCTTTGAAGAGCTTCTGAGCTGGTTGAGCGTCGCCTGCGCCGGCCTCCAGCGCTAGCCACAGCCGCGACGCTTTCGCGGCCAATACTCGCGTAGCGGCGCGTCCTTGGGCGGCCGGTCACCTGTCCCGGGCGGGCTTGCCCCAGGCACGGGCGACGGCGAGGGGGGGGGGGGGGGGCGCCAGCACGAAAGTGGCCGGTGCCACGGACGTCTGCGGCGGCTCCGACACGGCCGTTGCCCACGTTAATCCGCCTAGCTCGCCGGCGCTGGGTTCCGCGCGCGGGCCGGCCAGCAGCGGTCAGCGGCGCCCTCGCGCCGGCGTTTCCACACGGTCCGCCGAATATGGCGGGGCGGAACTTGGGTGCCAGCGCCGGCGCCGGCTCGTGGTCGGCTGCCGGGCGGGTTTGGCGATCGCGGAGGCGGCGTCGCACCCACGGCAGGCGGGGGCGTCCGCTGCCGCCGCGCACCAGGGTTGCGTGATGAGCAGGCTTGTCCGCCCGGCACTCTGCGCCCTTTCACGGCACGGTGGTGTCGGCTCTGGGCGTGCAGTGGCGCGACGACCTTGAGAGGCACGCCGGCTCTGAGGGAGCCGTCGCGGCCGACAGGCATGAGGCAGACGGTGGGTCGGTTACCGCGCCCCTGGAGATCCCGATCGGCTGGAGCTCCCTTAGATCTACAGACGAACAAAATTGGAATGCGGCGTCGGTGCGAACGGCACAAAACGGTTTGATTGCCTGTTGGGAGGCGCGATTTCCGCCCTAAGCGCAGGTGTTCTGCTGCGCCTGAGGTGTGGACGGCCTGGAGCCGCGATACAGCCGCGGGGCGACAGGCTGTTGGTGGGCAGGAGCGGCCCGCGCGCCTGCGAATATGCATGGTCGTTTGGGTAGCGGCGTGTTACAGGTGTGGTCGTCCTCCCGCAGATATATGCAGGAATTTGAACAGGATAGTCATCAATAATGTATTAGACGATAACCATATATCACCACAACCCTGGTCAATAAAGGGATACTTTAATTTTTGATTCAAATGCGTTTTAAAGTAAACAGTGGTGAATTTTGAACACAAATGCAAAATTGGTTTTAAAAGCAAAGAAAAATTGGTTTTATCCGGTTACTTCAAGTCCTGTTCTTATCAACTCTTAATCCTCTGTTAAGGCACGACGTCTACATACCTATTTCACCTATACTTTCGTAAAGTTCCTGCTTAGCCTTGGATTTCCTCTCCCAAGTATCACTTACTTATGCATATCCCTGCATGACCATCCTCATGGGCAACGATCTTCACCATCTAGATCGGATTTGCTTGGAACCTTTTGCCAAAGTGACACCCGGCGCCATCTTTTGAGCAGATCCAGCCTTGCCTGCACCTGTTACGTCCCCAAACGGACCGTTCAACATTTAAATTGTTGAAGCGGGTATCAGATATTATAAACCAAGCTCACTCATATCTATTGCTATATTTTTAATTGGAAAAGAATGTTTTAGACGCCACAATTTTTATGTGTCAGGTAGATATGTTCCTTCATACGTCATTGGTTGGTAGCGTAATCCTACCTTGCACAACATTGATTGAGATCCAATTGATGGTCGTTACGTCTGAAAATCGTGCTCACTATCGCTAGACATGAACAACTCGACATTTGTATTTTCTTGACCTTGATCACCGCATGGCTTACGGAATGACAGGATTTTAATGACGTTATTATGGCGTCATCGATGCCTTGGTGACCTTGACATGGTCTCCCCAAAATGGTCCGCACATTGTCGCGGGCGTGTAGCACAGCAACAAAAGGGGTTTAGATCTAACAATGGCAGTACTGTGAACTGCACCGAATGATCTTTAATATGGTTATTTCAGTAAAAAAAAACAGACAAATGTGAAACACTCCCTAAACATCACCATTCCTTACGACGTCTCGCCTCGCGTGGAAGGAGCGCGCCACACATTCGCCGCAGTCAGCGTCCCGCGCCGCCTCTGAGCCGCGCACCTGACCTGGCACTACATCCGCAGGACCAACTGGGCTGCTGCCACTGCATCGCGGAGCGCGGCGAGTACCGGCGCGCTCCGCTCCTCCCTCGCCGGT